TTAATGTGTATAATTTGTGAGTTAGTTATCTTTGAATATGAGGAATTAAATATAATGATTCAATGAATATATTAGTTGGAATCTATATCTAATTTGATACAACGGTTTGCGATGAATCGAATATTGAAAATCGAGATGATATTAGAGGATGTAGGTCATGGTCGATGTATTTCGATTTGATATTTTTGGTGATATCCGAATCTTACGAATTATTCGAGCGAATTAGGCATGCCTTAATTATTGATGTTTTGTTCGAGGTTCCCAACCTTGCAACGATCTCCGTTGATTCGATCTTAATCTTGAATCCGCAATGCCCCAATTTGGGTAGTGAATGATATGTTATGCAATGGTTTCGAATTAGGTGTGGATAATGTTGATGAGCATCGGTTTTGAATGGATTGGATTGCGCTCATACGATATACGCTGGCAACGGCCAATGTGGCTCATAGTTTGAAGCAAGAGTTGCAGTCAGTCACAGACGGCTCCTTGGTTTTGGCGCCATACATTTGGGGATCAATGTGACGCCGGGAATTTATTGGACGACTAAGATAGGCCACGCAAACGGTGCCAGCTGGGAGGCCAGATTAGATGACATAATTGAGGATACCGGAAGTGAATCTGCTCCTTTGGCACTCAGTTGTGATCGACAAGATCAGACGATATTGCAATCATTAGTGGCATACATAGGAATTGTTAACACGCACCTTGATTGAATTGCCAGAGATGTTTTGTTCCCCAGATAGCGAAGCTATAGGGATTCTTACTTCTCAATGGATGGGTTCCTGATTGCGGAAATTGGTTGCCGCTGCCGCTGCCGCCTTGTTTCCCAAGCTTGTCTCCCTTCATGATTTCGCTTTTGGCTGCCGCTGTTGCCTTGTCTTCCAAGCTTGTCTCCCTTCGTAATTTCGCTCTTGGCTGCCGCTGCCGCCTTGTCTGTGCAATTTGTCTTCCTTCATGATGTCGCTTTTGGTTGCCGCTGCCGCCTTGTCTGTGAAGCTTGTCTCCCTTCATGATTTCGCTCTTGGCTGCCTCTGCCGCCTTGTCTTCCAAGCTTGTCTCCCTTCGTGATTTCGCTCTTGGCTGCCGCTGCCAGCTTGTTTCCCAAGCTTGTTTCCCTTCATGATTTCTTGTTTTTGACTGCCGCTGCCGCCTTGTCTCCCAAGCTTGTCTCCCCTCATGATTTCGCTTTTGGCTGCCGCTGCCGCCTTGTCTGCCAAGCTTGTCTCCCTTCATGATGTCGTTTTTGGTTGCCGCTGCCGCCTTGTCTGTACAGCTTGTCTCCCTTCATGTTTTCGCTCTTGGCTGCCTCTTTTTTATCACACTTCCTTTGGTTGGTGTGTTGGTTGGTTCGGCCTGCTTGGCTTGTTGGTTGCTTGGAGTTTGGGAAAATACATACAGTGATGGATGGATCATGGACAAGGAGAAAAATAGAATTTTTTTATGTGTTGGTTGCTTGGTTTGCTTGCTGTTGATTGCTTGCGCGATACAGTGGATGGATGGATGGATGCGTCGATGCTGTATAAATAAAGGCGGGAGGCGGGAGGGGGCGCGGGGGAGGCGCTGAACCAAGTATCGGCAGCATTTGGGAAAACACAGGGTTGTGTGGTTTTGGTTGCTGGTTTGTTAATTGCTTGGTGGGCTACCAATGCAAAGCAAGTATCGACAGCATTTGGGGGAAATATTTGGTCGTTTGGTTTGTTTGTTGCTGGTGGGCTACCCACCCTTTCTTTTTAACAATCCTTCCTTTGGTTGGTGCGTCGGTTGGTTCATCCTGCTTGGCTTCTTGGTTGCTTGTATTTGGAGAAGACACATATAATGATGGATGGATCATGGACAGGGACAAAAATTTAACTTTTTGGTGTGTTGGTTGCTTGGTTTGCTTGCTGTGATTGCTCGGGTGATATAGTGCTTGATGGATATGCAATTTTTCTGTTTGTGCGCTTGGTTGCTGGCTGGCCGGCTGGCTGGCCGGCTGGCTGGCCGGCTGGCTGGCCGGCGGGCGGGCTGGCCGGCGGGCTGGCTGGCTGGCTGGCTGGCTGGCTGGCTGGATGGATGGATGGATGGATGGTGTAAATAAAGATGTAATGCAAATCAAGTACCGACAGCATTTGGGGAAAACAGGGTTGCGTGGTTTGGGTTGTTTGGTTTGTTGGTTGCTTGCTTGTTTGATGGGTGGATGGATGGATGATCTGTAGATAATGGCGGGCAGGGATGGATGCATAAATGGATGGAGTGTAAATAAAGGCGGGAGGGGGTGCGGGGGACGGGGTGCGGGGGAGGGCGCAGCGCCTCCCCCGCAATGCGAACCAAACATCAACAGCATGTGGGATCATCCAGGGTTGTGTCGTTTTGGTTGCTTGGTTTGTTGGTTGCTTGGTGGGCTACCAATGCAAAGCAAGTATCGACAGCATTTGGGGGGAACGTTTGTTTGCTTGGTTTGTTTGCTGCTGGTGGGCTATCCATCCTTTCTTTTAATTCTCCTTCTTTTGGTTTTTGTGTTGGTTAGTTCAGCCTGCTTGATTTGTCGGTTGCTTGGGCTTCGAGAAAAGACATATAGTGATAGATGTATCATGGACAGCGGGCAGAATACTACTTTTTGGTGTGTTGGCTTGCTTGCCGTGATTGCTTGCGTGATACAGTGCTTGATGGATATGCAATTTTTCTATTTGTGTGTTTGGTT